GTCAGTAGAACCCATGTTGCCGTAGGCCGTGACATCCTAGAACTAACATGTGCTGCTGTCAGTAGAACCCATGTTGCCATAGGCCGTGACATCCTAGAACTAACATGTGCTGCTGTCAGTAGAACCCATGTTGCCGTAGGCCGTGACATCCTAGAACTAACATGTGTAGCTGTCAGTAGAACCCATGTTGCCGTAGGCCGTGTCATCCTAGAACTAACATGTCTTGCTGTCAGTAGAACCCATGTTGCCATAGGCCGTGACATCCTAGAACTAACATGTGCTGCTGTCAGTAGAACCCATGTTGCCGTAGGCCGTGACATCCTAGAACTAACATGTGTTGCTGTCAGTAGAACCCATGTTGCCGTAGGCCGTGTCATCCTAGAACTAACATGTCTTGCTGTCAGTAGAACCCATGTTGCCGTAGGCCGTGACATCCTAGAACTAACATGTGCTGCTGTCAGTAGAACCCATGTTGCCGTAGGCCGTGACATCCTAGAACTAACATGTGTTGCTGTCAGTAGAACCCATGTTGCCATAGGCCGTGTCATCCTAGAACTAACAAGTCTTGCTGTCAGTAGAACCCATGTTGCCGTAGGCCGTGACATCCTAGAACTAACATGTGTAGCTGTCAGTAGAACCCATGTTGCCGTAGGCCGTGTCATTCTAAAACTAACATGTGTTGCTGTCAGTAGAACCCATGTTGCCGTAGGCCATGTCATCCTAGAACTAACATGTGTTGCTGTCAGTAGAACCCATGTTGCCGTAGGCCGTGTCATCCTAGAACTAACATGTCTTGCTGTCAGTAGAACCCATGTTGCCGTAGGCTGTGTCATCCTAGAACTAACATGTGTAGCTGTCAGTAGAACCCATGTTGCCGTAGGCCGTGTCATCCTAGAACCAACATGTCTTGCTGTCAGTAGAACCCATGTTGCCATAGGCCGTGTCATTCTAGAACTAACATGTGTTGCTGTCAGTAGAACCCATGTTGCCGTAGGCCGTGTCATCCTAGAACTAACATGTCTTGCTGTCAGTAGAACCCATGTTGCCGTAGGCCGTGTCATCCTAGAACTAACATGTGTAGCTGTCAGTAGAACCCATGTTGCCGTAGGCCGTCACATCCTAGAACTAACATGTGTTGCTGTCAGTAGAACCCATGTTCCCGTAGGCCGTGACATCCAAGAACTAACATGTCTTGCTGTCAGTAGAACCCATGTTGCCGTAGGCCGTGTCATCCTAGAACTAACATGTCTTGCCGTCAGTAGAACCCATGTTGCCGTAGGCCGTGTCATCCTAGAACTAACATGTCTTGCTGTCAGTAGAACCCATGTTGCCGTAGGCCGTGTCATCCTAGAACTAACATGTGTAGCTGTCAGTAGAACCCATGTTGCCGTAGGCCGTGTCATCCTAGAACTAACATGTGTAGCTGTCAGTAGAACCCATGTTGCCGTAGGCCGTGACATCCTAGAACTAACATGTGTAGCTGTCAGTAGAAGCCATGTTGCCGTAGGCTGTGACATCCTAGAACTAACATGTGTTGCTGTCAGTAGAACCCATGTTGCCGTAGGCCGTGACATCCTAGAACTAACATGTGTAGCTGTCAGTAGAACCCATGTTGCCGTAGGCCGTGACATCCTAGAACTAACATGTGTTGCTGTCAGTAGAACCCATGTTGCCGTAGGCCGTGACATCCTAGAACTAACATGTGTTGCTGTCAGAAGAACCCATGTTGCCGTAGGCCGTGACATCCTAGAACTAACATGTGTAGCTGTCAGTAGAACCCATGTTGCCGTAGGCCGTGACATCCTAGAACTAACATGTCTTGCTGTCAGTAGAACCCATGTTGCCGTAGGCCGTGACATCCTAGAACTAACATGTGTAGCTGTCAGTAGAACCCATGTTGCCGTAGGCCGTGACATCCTAGAACTAACATGTCTTGCTGTCAGTAGAACCCATGTTGCCGTAGGCCGTGACATCCTAGAACTAACATGTGTAGCTGTCAGTAGAACCCATGTTGCCGTAGGCCGTGACATCCTAGAACTAACATGTGTTGCTGTCAGTAGAACCCATGCTGACGTAGGCCGTGACATCCTAGAACTAACATGTGTTGCTGTCAGTAGAACCCATGTTGCCGTAGGCCGTGTCATTCTAGAACTAACATGTGTTGCTGTCAGTAGAACCCATGTTACCGTAGGCCGTGACATCCTAGAACTAACATGTGTAGCTGTCAGTAGAACCCATGTTGCCGTAGGCCGTGACATCCTAGAACTAACATGTCTTGCTGTCAGTAGAACCCATGTTGCCGTAGGCCGTGTCATCCTAGAACTAACATGTGTTGCTGTCAGTAGAACCCATGTTGCCGTAGGCCGTGTCATCCTAGAACTAACATGTCTTGCTGTCAGTAGAACCCATGTTGCCGTAGGCCGTGACATCCTAGAACTAACATGTGTAGCTGTCAGTAGAACCCATGTTGCCGTAGGCCGTGACATCCTAGAACTAACATGTGTAGCTGTCAGTAGAACCCATGTTGCCGTAGGCCGTGTCATCCTAGAACTAACATGTGTTGCTGTCAGTAGAACCCATGTTGCCGTAGGCCGTGACATCCTAGAACTAACATGTGTTGCTGTCAGTAGAACCCATGTTGCCGTAGGCCGTGTCATCCTAGAACTAACATGTGTAGCTGTCAGTAGAACCCATGTTGCCGTAGGCCGTGTCATCCTAGAACTAACATGTGTAGCTGTCAGTAGAACCCATGTTGCCGTAGGCCGTGACATCCTAGAACTAACATGTGTAGCTGTCAGTAGAAGCCATGTTGCCGTAGGCCGTGACATCCTAGAACTAACATGTGTTGCTGTCAGTAGAACCCATGTTGCCGTAGGCCGTGACATCCGAGAACTAACATGTGTAGCTGTCAGTAGAACCCATGTTGCCGTAGGCCGTGACATCCTAGAACTAACATGTCTTGCTGTCAGTAGAACCCATGTTGCCGTAGGCCGTGACATCCTAGAACTAACATGTCTTGCTGTCAGTAGAACCCATGTTGCCGTAGGCCGTGACATCCTAGAACTAACATGTGTAGCTGTCAGTAGAACCCATGTTGCCGTAGGCCGTGACATCCTAGAACTAACATGTCTTGCTGTCAGTAGAACCCATGTTGCCGTAGGCCGTGACATCCTAGAACTAACATGTGTAGCTGTCAGTAGAACCCATGTTGCCGTAGGCCGTGACATCCTAGAACTAACATGTCTTGCTGTCAGTAGAACCCATGTTGCCGTAGGCCGTGACATCCTAGAACTAACATGTGTAGCTGTCAGTAGAACCCATGTTGCCGTAGGCCGTGACATCCTAGAACTAACATGTGTTGCTGTCAGTAGAACCCATGCTGACGTAGGCCGTGTCATCCTAGAACTAACATGTGTTGCTGTTAGTAGAACCCATGTTGCCGTAGGCCGTGTCATTCTAGAACTAACATGTGTTGCTGTCAGTAGAACCCATGTTGCCGTAGGCCGTGTCATTCTAGAACTAACATGTGTTGCTGTCAGTAGAACCCATGTTACCGTAGGCCGTGACATCCTAGAACTAACATGTGTAGCTGTCAGTAGAACCCATGTTGCCGTAGGCCGTGACATCCTAGAACTAACATGTCTTGCTGTCAGTAGAACCCATGTTGCCGTAGGCCGTGTCATCCTAGAACTAACATGTGTTGCTGTCAGTAGAACCCATGTTGCCGTAGGCCGTGTCATCCTAGAACTAACATGTCTTGCTGTCAGTAGAACCCATGTTGCCGTAGGCCGTGACATCCTAGAACTAACATGTGTAGCTGTCAGTAGAACCCATGTTGCCGTAGGCCGTGACATCCTAGAACTAACATGTGTAGCTGTCAGTAGAACCCATGTTGCCGTAGGCCGTGTCATCCTAGAACTAACATGTGTTGCTGTCAGTAGAACCCATGTTGCCGTAGGCCGTGACATCCTAGAACTAACATGTGTTGCTGTCAGTAGAACCCATGTTGCCGTAGGCCGTGTCATCCTAGAACTAACATGTGTAGCTGTCAGTAGAACCCATGTTGCCGTAGGCCGTGTCATCCTAGAACTAACATGTGTAGCTGTCAGTAGAACCCATGTTGCCGTAGGCCGTGACATCCTAGAACTAACATGTGTAGCTGTCAGTAGAAGCCATGTTGCCGTAGGCCGTGACATCCTAGAACTAACATGTGTTGCTGTCAGTAGAACCCATGTTGCCGTAGGCCGTGACATCCGAGAACTAACATGTGTAGCTGTCAGTAGAACCCATGTTGCCGTAGGCCGTGACATCCTAGAACTAACATGTCTTGCTGTCAGTAGAACCCATGTTGCCGTAGGCCGTGACATCCTAGAACTAACATGTCTTGCTGTCAGTAGAACCCATGTTGCCGTAGGCCGTGACATCCTAGAACTAACATGTGTAGCTGTCAGTAGAACCCATGTTGCCGTAGGCCGTGACATCCTAGAACTAACATGTCTTGCTGTCAGTAGAACCCATGTTGCCGTAGGCCGTGACATCCTAGAACTAACATGTGTAGCTGTCAGTAGAACCCATGTTGCCGTAGGCCGTGACATCCTAGAACTAACATGTCTTGCTGTCAGTAGAACCCATGTTGCCGTAGGCCGTGACATCCTAGAACTAACATGTGTAGCTGTCAGTAGAACCCATGTTGCCGTAGGCCGTGACATCCTAGAACTAACATGTGTTGCTGTCAGTAGAACCCATGCTGACGTAGGCCGTGTCATCCTAGAACTAACATGTGTTGCTGTCAGTAGAACCCATGTTGCCGTAGGCCGTGTCATTCTAGAACTAACATGTGTTGCTGTCAGTAGAACCCATGTTACCGTAGGCCGTGACATCCTAGAACTAACATGTCTTGCTGTCAGTAGAACCCATGTTGCCGTAGGCCGTGACATCCTAGAACTAACATGTGTAGCTGTCAGTAGAACCCATGTTCCCGTAGGCCGTGACATCCAAGAACTAACATGTCTTGCTGTCAGTAGAACCCATGTTGCCGTAGGCCGTGTCATCCTAGAACTAACATGTGTTGCTGTCAGTAGAACCCATGTTGCCGTAGGCCGTGACATCCTAGAACTAACATGTGTAGCTGTCAGTAGAACCCATGTTGCCGTAGGCCGTGATCCTAGAACTAACATGTGTTGCTGTCCACCCTCCGAGAGTTCAGTGACTGTAGGGGTCTGGCATTTCCATGAACAGAGAGATGAGCTGCGTCCTTGACTTTGAGTGTCCTTAATATTTGCACCTGAAGGAAAACCCAGAGAAATAGATTCGTTAAACAACAGCAATGCATACCACCCAAGATATTTCTCACTGTCACAACAGCATACTTACTCCCACATTTCAAAATCTTATTCCAAAAGTTATGAAGACTTCATTGAACTCCATTATCCCTATCAGATTAGATTAGGAGAACATTATGGTAACTTGGCAATGGCCACTTCCGCCGGCCATCTTGTATGTTATCACGGTGAAATATTGGAAGTGTTTTGGTTGTTGTGCCTCTCCCTATTGGCGGAAGTCAAATAATTAAATAATGACACCTTTGATCTTATGTTAGATGAGCAATTGCAAAAATATTTTAAAGATGTTTCCATTAATCAAACATCAGGTTACTTTTTTGTGTGCCCTAAGCATGCAACCAAGAGAGATCATATCTTTAATCCCAGAGATAATGGTGGTAAAAGGAAGTTGTTGTTTTTTATTCAAGATGAATATTTCGCTATATTTGTGAGACATGAATTTCTGACCAGGTGTACAAAAATATGTTTGATATTTACAATAAATTAGAAAAACAATTTTTTTTATAAAATATATACAAATTTGTTCAGGGGGTGTAGATTTTGTTTCAGATAGATATGTTCTTAAGCATCCCCCTATCACAGAAGACCTGCTCCTACCTTCTCCTGGGTAGTGACGATTGGATTCTGCATCACGATCCATCGGACAGACTCAGAGCACGATGGTGTTGTCAATGAGCCAAAGTAGGTGTAGAACTTGCCACCAGGGGGCATCAGTTGGCGTGGATCCAAGGTCACTGACACCCCATCTTTATGTACAATGAAAACATATATAGGAATTTCTGTCTCATCGGTGGGTGGATATATATATACAGATGACTGATCTGAATAGATGGACTGCCGTGCGTGTCTGGTTTTACATAATTTTAGTGGTATTTCAGTTATATCGGGGGGTGTCAGCTTGTTAGGGGGGAAAGCCTGATATTATGCAGGTCCTTTGATTCCCACTTTAGTGAAACATACAAGCATGGCTATGGAGCTGAGATACATAATCAAGCAAATCTGGGATTTGAACAAAAGATCATAGGATTCTGGCATGTCTAAGGGAAGCAACTCTGCAGACAACTGAACCACCCATGACTGGGACTGAAGAATATAGGAAGATTAATGGTAGATTTGTTTTTTCCAACACAAGCACTCAATATTTCAGTCATAAGATTGCGGACTAAACGATCCAGTGACCTGATACTGTCTGCAACAATCTACACTGTCGGGGTACAATGACACACAATGAACTAAGGCACAGAACCTGACCACCCACACCAGGTCGCCTCTTACAACAAGCATGGGTAGCTGGGCACCTTGTCTAACCCTGAATTCTGAATGGGCAGATCAATATGAATACCCATTGACTGGTAAGATTACAGACAGATTAATATGAATACTAATATGGTGGACTGATATGAATAGACTTGCTGGTAAGAATAGACTTGCTGGTTGGAATAGATGGACTGATATGAATAGATGGACTGACGTGAAAAGATAGGTTGATATGAAAAAATGGACTGATGTGAATAGATGGGTTGGTGAATATTTGGTTGATATGAATAGATGGATTGATGTGCATAGATAGGCTGGTGAATATATGGATGATACAAATAGATGGACTGATATGAATAGATGGGCTGGTGAATATCAAGGTGTTATGAATAGATGGACTGATATGAAAAGATGGGCAGGTGAATATATGGGTGATATGAATAGATGGACTGACATGATTAGATGAACGGATATGATTAGATGGATTGAATGAATAGATGGACTGATATGAACAGAAGGACTGATATGAATAGATTGACTGATATGAACAGATGGACTGATATGAATACATGGACTTATATGAATAGATGGACTGATATGAATAGATGGGCTGATATGAACAGATGGACTGATATGAATAGATGGAGTGATGTGAATAGATGGAGTGATATGAATAGATAGAGTGATATGATTAGATGGACTGATATGAACAGATGGACTGATATGATTAGATGGACTGGTGAATATCAGGGTGTTATGAATAGATGGACTGATATGAAAAGATTGGCAGGTGAATATATGGGTGATATGAATAGATGGGCTGATATGAATAGGTTGACTTATATGATTAGATGGACTGATATGAACAGATGGACTGATATGAATAGATGGAGTGATGTGAATAGATGCAGTGATATGAATAGATAGAGTGATATGATTAGATGGACTGATATGAACAGATGGACTGATATGATTAGATGGACTGATATGAACAGATGGACTGATATAAATAGATGGAGTGATATGAACAGATGGACTGATATAAATAGATGGAGTGATATGAACAGATGGACTGATATGAATAGATGGAGTGATGTGGCACAGCTGGAACTGGATCTTACTTCCAGCCTTGTTCAGCTTTTGTACCCCATCCAAGAACGCATTGAATGCCGAGTTGTTTGACGATGATCCTGACTGCAAGAGACAGAAATGTGTGTTCTACATGGATGCTGAGGACTAAAATTTAATCAATTGAACAAAACATGACATCATCATCAGACGAAAAATACATGCCAAAGATCAGCTCCCGCACTCTGTAATTTCAGACGAGAGAATTTAAGAGTAAGAACAATATGTACAAGAAAAAATGTCTAAATAATGAAAAAAGACAAAAATTATGCTTGATGTCTTGTAGTTTTCCAGCTCACAAATAACAAATATTTGGGACCATCCATCATTAATATTAACAGTTTTAACCATCTCCCCTGAAATCATGATTGCATCTGGGGTGTTTCTCCAAAGTACCAATCCTCACACAATTCCCATCCCATTTTAAACATGGCCACCACGACAGCCATATTGGAATATTATCTTGTCCAACCCTTGATCTATATCTGCATGTATCAGTGTGTATATGGTGATGTTAGCTGTGCTGAAATGTATGGTTTGAATCCTCAAATCGCCCAGATCATGATTGTAGGTTAAACATTGTGCTTAAGAACTGTATCACTTTGGACTTTCCACCAACATTAAGACAACATAATAATTGAGATACTGTTCAAAGCACTGTTAACCCAAATCACTAAATTAACAAAATACTGACGTCATATTCCTCAACCTAGAACCTGTTTATTGCCAGAGACATCCACAAAATGAAATGTGAATGAGTGAGTGAGTGAGTATGGTTTTACGCAGCTTTTAGAAATTCCAGCAATATCACGGCGGGGGACACCAGAAATGGGCTTCACACATTGTACCCATATCGTGAATCGAACCCGGGGGTCTTCGGCGTGACAAGCGAACGCGAAAATGTGAATGGAGGACATGGCAACACAAGCTTCAGGCAAATGATCCAAAAACATGCTTTAAGTTTTAACTTGCATTCCAGAAAATTGAAAAAGTTAAAAAGACAAAACATCAAATTCAACCGTCAACAAAAAAAATAAAAAAATTAAACAACAGCAATAACAAACCAAAACGATCAGTAAAAATGTCTCATTCAGCATACATAAAATCATAAATTTCCTAAAAGTTGTCTCCCTTAGACCATGTATCAATGACCACGTTCTTGATCTTTGATCGTTTTGTACAGCATGAAGAAAAAGTGCATACACCTTTGAGTGACACCAACTAATGATAATGTGTGTTCGTCTTTGAATAAAATGGTTAAGTGCTAAGTGATTAAGGAGATGCATTGATATCGCTGGAGAGTGATCTAGATTAAAAACTTTGTAACTTAGGCTGAAAGAATTAAAAGTCTTGGTTCTCAGGCATCTCCCACATCATCATAAAGTCTGCCGCACGTTTCTTTTTTATTTCCATTTTCCAAAAAAAATAAAAATCTTAAAAAAACTTAAATATTCCGCATCTCTATCACACGACCCCAGCAGTTAAATGCTACAATACTTAAGAACAACATGATTTCCCTGAAATTATTGTAAACAAAATTTGGTCACATACTAAATAACCCCAAAAATATCTACAATGTAGATAACGCTTGATCTCACCCAAGCCATATCTCCTTTGGGAGCCAGTTTTGGATGATAAATGTACTTCCGTCATCATTTCAAAGTAAGCCTCAGTCAGATGTATGTACAACATCTTCCAATGTTCCTGAAGCCAACTTACCTCCAGAAATATTCCAATCACAGCTAACCCATCCTGCTTGGCTGCTGCAGCTGCAATGCTGCCATACTGCTTCTTGTAGTGGACCAAGTGCAACTACAACAACGACAATGTGGCATAGTCAGGAAACGTGGCAAAGAGCATCAGCTGTTTTAACATTTGGAATGGTTGGTTGGATTGTTGTTTAACGCCGCACTCAGCAATATTCCAGCTATATGACGGCGGTCTGTAAATAATCAAGTCTGGACCAGATAATCCAGTGATTAATATCATGAGAATCGATCCACGCAATTGGGATCGATGACATGCATCAACCAAGTCAGCGAGCCTGACCAAGTGATCCCGTTAGTCGCCTTTTACGACAAGCTTAGTCGCCTTTTACGGCAAGCATGGGTTGCTGAAGACCTATTCTACCCCGGAATCTTCACGGGTCTTTAACAGTAGGGATGGGTATTGGATGTTTAAAGTGTATCAATATTTTACGATGCACAGAGCCATATTGCAATACGTATCACGATATATATTTTATAATTCTCAATTTTGAACTCGGAAGTAATTTGATACATTCAGGTATGAATTGAAGTTCAAAAATGGAACAAAACAAGATGCTGGTGCAACATGATGTTTCCTCAGTCAGTAAATATGCAAGGATGCACAGTCCGGGACAGTGATGACTTGGCGTTACATCACCACCACAGACAAACTCCAGAATGCCAACTTGCATTTTGGAATTATGGAACATTTCAAAGGTACATGTATTTGGCAAGTGTTACAGTGCATCACATTAAACACATGATAAAAGTAGCTATTTGAAATCACCTGATATACCGAGCATTGAACAATGATATTGTGATATGTATTGTGGAAAGAATGAACCTCAATTTACCAATATACCGGTAATACCGTGCAGCCTTAGTTAACAGTGACAACAGCTCATTATTGATGTGATTGATCGGCAACATCATACAGTACAGGGAGGAAACGACTCAATGGTGGTGGCAATAAAACTTGTTGCAGGGGAAATAAAACTCACTGGATGTTGCAAAATAACTTGCTGGATGTTGCAAAATAACTCGTTGGATGTTGCAAAAATAACTCACCGAATGTTGCAAAATAACTCACCGAATGCTACAAAATAACTCACTGGATGTTGCAAAATAACTCACTGGATGTTGCAAAATAACTCACCGAATGCTACAAAATAACTCACTGGATGTTGCAAAATAACTCACTGGATGTTGCAAAATAACTCCCTGAATGTTGACTAAGCAGTTCCTATTCCTCTTTCGATCCTACGATCCTATGTGCCTAAACAAAGGTTTCCAGCTTCAAAAAAAAGAAGCAATCAACCCGAACACGCCTAGCATCATCAAAATTACCTCCCAACAATCTAGGTCAGGCACGCTTTTCATGCCAGTGGACCTACATGCTCTGAACGCGTGATTTCCCCAACCAACTCATTCTCTTTCTAGACCTTAATAGGCTTGAGGAATTGTGATGCAGGGATGGACAGGCGGGCATATAGTGTGTGAAATAAGGTAAGGATATAAGACAGGGGTATCACAATCTCCCATGGATGATAGGACAAGCCAGCTTGGCATCTCTTTTAACACGTCATCAAAACCATCAATCACGTCTCAGGGATTGAAATGAGATTAAGACGAGAAGAGGAATGATAAAGCAGCAGTAGACGAGGGAGACGAAGAAAAAAGATGGTCTCATGTAAGCTTTGTAGTATTTTTCATGAGGAAAATACAAGATCAGTCCGATCCAATACCACTTTCCGAAACCGTAGGTTGATTCACCGTAAACGTAGATTCTCCGTAAGTGGCTGAGTGGTCAAGACGGGAACATCTTCTGTGAGAAAGCTGTCAGATATTCCATCGTCATTGACAGACAAGATAAGCAGCGCAGGGGGAGACCATTCCCCAATTGTTGAAGATGTAGTTAGTTTAGCAGATTTTTAGACTTCTTCGTTTTAGGAGTTTTCACAGTTCTGGTTGATTTTTCAGTGAGTTGGACAATTTAATAAAAAAATTTTTACCCCAACAGTCAGTATAATTTAATGTAAATTATATTTATATTGTTTTTTCCACTCTTAATTTGTTCAGGATTTGGGAATCTGTTAACTGACTTATTTAAAAACTAACGCCTTACACAGCTACAGAGTGAAACCCAGGTTCTGATTCTGAGCACTAGACCCACCTCTCCTGGCATGGCTTTACCGTCAACGTGATGTTCCGAGGGGCAGTGGAAGTGCATGGAGTCAAGGACGTAGTCATCGGTGACCTCAGGCAGAACTCTCGTCACTAGTTGGTGTTGCATAGAGAAGACGAGAACAGCACCTTGGCCTTAATTGAAACACGAACAATCTCAACTGATATTTTATTGAAATAACAACAACAACATGTTTTTTGTTTATGCCGCAGTCTGCATTATTCCATCTATAGCATGGCACAGGAGTAAACAATCTGACCCTAATGAGGTTGGGCAGTGTGTTAGTAATTAAGTCTGGGATGCACAGACCAGTGGTCGATATCATGAGCAACGTTCCACATCTTCGGGGTGCAATCATAAGCAATCAGCCAAGTCATGTAGTCTGACCACTTGATCAAATTTAGTCACCTCTTATGACAAGTAATTCATCACAGTTACCATCCCCTGATGCAACATTGGGGGTATCTTCATGGTACATGATGCCACTTAATAGGTTTAGAATTGATCTTCAGCAACCCATGTTTGTTGTTGGAAGCAACTAAAGGAATCAGGTGGTCAGGCTCGCTGACTTGGTTGATGCATTTCATCGTATCCCAAATGTGAGGATCGAATGCTCATAATGGCAATCACTGGATTGTCTGCTCCAGGACTACTGTCCTGACATGCCTCAGTGCATTTCTCAGCAACTTACCTCCCATTGTCACATCGCCCATTACCAAATCATTTGTTTACTGTTTGCATTGACAGAATAATAATCATACCACAATCTTCTCACACATTGTGTCTTTTGCACATAAAACCACATTTACACTTAGTGTGTTCGAAAACATTGTATTAACAGTTCTTATTCAAATGAATCCTATCAAAATGATAGCCGGCCACATCTATATACGTCAGGGATTTATCCAGGATTCCAAACTAAGAGCCCTTGGCAGGCAATATTTGAAAAAAATCTCATTATTTTGCTCAAATTGGTCAGTAAAATACAAGTCAGTTCTACAGAGCCATAACATTAATTATTACAGTAAAACATAAATTGGGAAATATGGAATTCCATTTAGGTATGTTTACTGACATTTGCTGTACTCTTGAGACTGAATACTGGCTGTTGAGCAGGTCTAGATAAATCACTACTCAGTCCTAACTGTTGATCATGTCCGGTCAAAATTTAAGAATGTCCGGACAATACTTTTTAAAATGTCCGGTAAGCAATATTTTAAAACGGACATTTGAGATTCCCAATCGGACATGTCCGGCGCATATGACGGTTTCCGGACCCCTGATGTATAGGCACATAAGTGATAAGCACAAAATGCCATTTTTCCGGACATATTGGGGAGCTAAATATCAGATCCCTATTATAAACTGATGGGACTGATTCAAGAAGGGAATAACCCTAAGCCATGATAAGGTAAATGTTTCTCTTCATCATGTAAGGCTGGGTTCACACAGTGCCGATTATGGCTCCTGTTTGAGATCAGACAGCGCTACGACACGAAAAGTGAAAAAGTCGGATTACTATCCTCAATGATCTTGAATGTCCTATCATGGTCTGAACCCAGCTGTATACATTCGTAACAGAGTCCTACGGATCGGGAAAGGTCTGCCAAACACTCCCAACAGTATGGTGTGTCCTGGGAACATTCGGGAAACTCAGCCGATTTTGTCTAGTCGGATTACAATCGTGACAATGTCATGACAGATTCTGCTGTATCGGATCAAAATCGTAACAATGTCGTAACGGTGTCCTGTTGATCGGGACACTGTCGTGATGAAGGGGTATGATTTGGAGAAATTGTTTATATCCGTTTCTTGTTGATTGAGTCCAGAATGCGTCCAGATCATGCCGAATGTGAACCGTCTTTGTCGGTTCAATGTCCAGTCACTGTCTGATCTCTGTTGGATCGCATTCTGGAGAATCGGGACGCTGTCGGGACAGATTCAGGTCGTATTTTACCATGAGGAAGATACAAATCGGATCAGATTCGGATTGGGAGGGAGAGTCGGGATGATTTTGGCTGGAAACGGCTGAATCGGGACGCTTCCTGAACAATTTTGATTGTTGCCTTAATTAAGTAAATGTTTTTACAAATTTGTGAATTTCCCACCACGAATCACAGGATCTTGATCAGACTTTTGACAAATTTGAATCGAGAATGGTCCTATCAAGGACGGCAACAAAAATCCTAAATGTGTGACTGAGCCCCAAGTCATTTAAATCTAGCTAGGTGAACACATTTCTTTATGGTTATCAATTGTTTGGACTGATTGGTAAAAGATCTGGTTTGATATAAGTTTGATATAAGAAATTCAATATTGTCCAGATTTTACAGAAAGGTTATGTCATCTAATCAATGCCACCATGGTTGCTAACGAATCATAAGGAAGAATTTTTTTTTAAAAAACCTGCCGATTTAAAAATTGCCTCACCCATTGAACTGATGTTTCCATTCAGGGCACCTGTCTGACTGCCTTGGTAGGTGATGGCAGTGAAACCTCTACAGTGAAGGCTCTGGGTCTGGATGTTGATGGGGGACTGGAAGGAGCCTGCACAGCACCGTGTCCCGGGAGCCAGGTGGCTCCAGTGTAGGGGACCTGCGGAGAGGAAGAGTGAGTGAGTGAGTGAGTGAGTGAGTGAGTGAGGTGATGGGGGACTGGATGGAGCCTGCACAGCACTGTGTCCCGGGAGCCAGGTGGCTCCAGTGTAGGGGACCTACGGAGAGGAAGAGTGAGTGAGTGAGTGAGTGAGGTGATGGGGGACTGGATGGAGCCTGCACAGCACTGTGTCCCGGGAGCCAGGTGGCTCCAGTGTAGTGGACCTGGGGAGAGGAAGAGTGAGTGAGTGAGTGAGTGAGTGAGTGAGGTACGTGATGGGGGACTGGATGGAGCCAGCACAGCACCGTGTCCCGGGAGCCAGATGGCTCCAGTGTAGGACACCTGCGGAGAGGAAGAGTGAGTGAGTGAGGTGATGGGGGACTGGAAGGAGCCTGCACAGCACTGTGTCCAGGGAGCCAGGTGGCTCCAGTGTAGTGGACCTGGGGAGAGGAAGAGTGAGTGAGTGAGTGAGTGAGTGAGTGAGGTACGTGATGGGGGACTGGATGGAGCCAGCACAGCACCGTGTCCCGGGAGCCAGGTGGCTCCAGTGTAGGGGACCTGCGGAGAGGAAGAGTGAGTGAGTGATGTGATGGGGGACTGGAAGGAGCCAGCACAGCACCGTGTCCCGGGAGCCAGGTGGCTCCAGTGTAGGGAACCTGCGGAGAGGAAGAATGAGTGAGTGAGTGAGTGAGTGAGTGAGGAGGACGGGAACTGGATGGAGCCTGCACAGCACCGTGTCCCGGGAGCCAGGTGGCTCCAGTGTAGGGGACCTGCGGAGAGGAAGAGTGAGTGAGTGAGTGAGGAGGACGGGGACTGGATGGAGCCTGCACAGCACCGTGTCCCCGGAGCCAGGTGGCTCCAGTGTAGGGGACCTGCGGAGAGGAAGAATGAGTGAGTGAGTGAGTGAGGAGGACGGGGACTGGATGGAGCCTGCACAGCACCGTGTCCCGGGAGCCAGGTGGCTCCAGTGTAGGGGACCTGCGGAGAGGAAGAATGAGTGAGTGCGTGGAACCAGCCCCACCCTCCTTTGCCGATGCCAATAAGGCTCTTGAAACTCTAAACATCTTCTTGAACACTCAAATATCAACAGAGATGACATCATTTGACTCATCTCAAGGATGCGGTTTCACGAATGCAGTCAGCGAAACAAGTCAGAGCAAAATCACCGACTATGCATCTCCCCGTATGTAAATTGATAAATATGTTTACATTTTGTACATGTATTTGATGACAATGTTCGAAAAATGTTATGCATTAAATGTTATTAAATGAATTTTATAAAATGTTATCAATTGAAGGCTATGAAGTGATCTCGGCTAATGCTAGTCAATGCTGCAATTACATGTATTGTGTTTCGTTTTATCCAAGATGGCGGACGTTTCCGAGCGAAAACGTATAAAACGAATAATGTATATAACGAACTGATTTGTCTGGTCCCTTGTTGTTCGTTATATCCATGTTTTTATTCAGACACTAGCATCTGTTCAAATATGGTCTTCAGCAACCCATGCGTGTCATCAGGCTCGCTGTCTTGGTTGACGAATGTAATCATATCCCAAATGTGTAGAACGATGCTCATGATGTCAATCACTGGAATGTCTGGTCCAGACTGGATTATTTACAGATCACCATCATATAGCTGTGCAGCATTAAAAAACAAACAAACAAACAGCAAAGAAATGGTATGGGAGTTACGATCACCTCTCTGATAAGATTGCTTTGTAAAACAGCACCCTGGCCTCTTCATAGATGAAACATGAAAATAACATTTTTGCAGTCTGACTTCGCGATGTGTCTTTGCCTTTTACTTCCTGGTTAGGCTTATCTACGGGTCATATAATTTCTTTCATATTTCAATGGTCAAGTTAATACCTCTGCTTATCTACGGGGTCGGCTTATATGAGGTCATATACAGTATGAAATATGAAATTATTGTCTTACCACCAGCACTGTGAGCATTGTGAGAATCGTAGCTGAAAGCAAGTAAGTCTGCTATGGTATGGGCGTTACGATCACCTTAGCGCTAAGATCGCTTTGTACAATGGCACCTGACCTCTTAATAGATGAAATATGAAATAGGAAATTATTGTCTTACCACCAGCACTGTGAGAATTATAGCTGAAAGCAAGTAAGTCTGCTATGGTATGGGCGTTACGATCACCTTAGCGCTAAGATAGCTTTGTACAACGGCACCTGGCCTCTCAATAGATGAAATATGAAATGTGAAATCATTGTCTTATCACCAGCGCTGTGAGAATTGTAGCTGAAAGCAAGTAAGTCTGCTATGGTATGGGCGTTACGATCACCTTAGCGCTAAGATTGCTTCGTACAACGGCACCTGGCCTCTCAATAGATGAAATGTGAAATCATTGTCTTATCACCAGCGCTGTGAGAATTGTAGCTGAAAGCAAGTAAGTCTGCTATGGTATGGGCGTTACGATCACCTTAGCGCTAAGATTGCTTCGTACAACGGCACCTGGCCTCTCAATAGATGAAATATAAAATGTGAAATCATTGTCTTATCACCAGCGCTGTGAGAATTGTAGCTGAAAGCAAGTAAGTCTGCTATGGTATGGGCGTTACGATCACCTTAGCGCTAAGATTGCTTCGTACAACGGCACCTGGCCTCTCAATAGATGAAATACGAAATCATTGTCTTATCACCAGCACTGTGAGAATTATAGCTGAAAGCAAGTAAGTCATGTTATGGCAGATTATACCAATCTATTATATGGTCTCTAGTTATGGTATGGGCGTTACAATCACATTAGCGCTAAGATCGCTTCGTACACCGGCACCTGGCCTCTTAATAGATGAAATAGGAAATAGGAAATGATTGTCTTACCCTCAGCGCTGTGAGAATTGTAGCTGAAAGCAACCGAGGGGGTAGGTGGACACAGGTCCTCTGATGGGCCAGACGTCCGAGGTACGAACACTACGACCAATGTTATCACAGTTATCCCAATCACTCCCAAACACAAGCCCAGTGCACATTTCTTGTATGTACTGTCAGTGAGAAGCCGCCAAACAGCGACAAAGCGATTCCTTTCGTTGTCAGCAATTAAAACATCCGTATCGTCATCCATGGTAATATAGGCTGTCCCCTGTACTTGCGATCACCATCAATACACGACACACAGAGAGTATGGTCACATTCAGTAATTCATCCCAGTCATCTCAATTCCTGAATAAGATGCACATTAAACTCTGAAAACATCCACAAAACAATCGATAGTATTCTCTTATTGATTGTCAATGATTTAACGTATATTGTTGTTATGAGTGAGTGAGTGAGTGAGTTGGGTTTAATGCCGCTTTTAACATTAATCCAGTTATATCACGGCGTGTCAGCTTAATGTGGGAGGAAAGCCCAAAGTGATGCAGGTCTCAGACATTTACCATTTCGGTGAAACCCACGAGCACGGGTATGGTGCTGACAAACCTAGAAACATAATTGGGGTGAACCGGGATTCGAACCCACAATTATAGGTTTCTGGCGTGCCCAAGGGACACAACTCTGTTCTAGGATGTATGCCCTGGTCACGCCAACTGACTCACTCCTCAGCTCCGAGAAAGGATGGACTCTCCTCCCCTCAGTTCTGTGACTGGGGAATTGAGGAATTGAGTAAGTACAGCGTGTGACTTCCAAGGCATGCACCAGCTCATCTGGACAGACATGTACAGAATTAATTTTCTTTGACAATGGTGAGTGAGTGAGTTGGGTTCAAGGCACAATTCGCTGTGCAGAGTTGTGTCCCATGGACCCACCAGGAACCTATGATCATGAGTTTGAATCATGTGTCGCCCTGATTATGTTTCCGGTTGTGTCAGCACCATACCCATGCTCATGGGTTTTACCAAAGTGGTAAATATCCGAGACCTTTGTCAATTCAGGCTTTCCTCCCACATTAGGCTGACACGCCGTGATAAAAATACCTGTCAAAGCGGCGTTAACCAAACTCACTCATTCAATGGGTATACCCAAGATCAAGATATTTGTTTTGATATAGTTATATATAGATTCAGAAAAACAATTTAGATGACCTGTATACATTAATGCTCCCACTTTAGGAAAATAAACTTTGTATTTCCTCGTATCAATGATCACATGATTGTAACACAATTGCACCTTTCACCTTGCCATGCCAAATTGCACACAAACACTGACCCATACCTCTTAATCTTGTGTTCAGTTAGGGTCAGGTAATAGAGGATCAGAGGCTTGGGTAGTAAATTTGGACATGTCCAAGCCCTAGTGCCTTGCTCCAATAAGCACGACAAACTTTTAGACCAATCTATAGGCGGTGAGGTGAGGTGAAATTGGGTTTAACGTCGCGTCCAAGATTATTGCGCTTATATAGCGACGTGCATGCACGTGTATGTGTGTGTGTGGCTGCTTGTACTAGTCCGGACTGATGCCGATTTATAGTGCTAGCACACTGAGATATCATGCCGCAGTTTAACATGGATACCCCACTCAGACACAGTATACTGACTCCGAGCCGACCAGTCCTTGTTTTAGCCCTTTAATGCCGAGCGCCAGACAGGGTAACAACAAGTACCATCTTTTAACGTCTTTTGGTATGACGCGGCCGGGGATCGAACCCCGGACCTTCCACTCTCCGGGCGGACGCTCTACCACTAGACCACGGAGGCGGTCAATCTGTAGGCAATGTTTATAAGTGCCCCCTACCAAAATCTGAAACTCTACATGAAAGTCCATACCCTCTTGTACAGATACATTATACTGACAGAAAACAGCAGCGCACAAGGGGTATATTTGCTTTGTAACTATTATAACAAAGGTTTTAGTCTACTATAGCCTGATCTCAATGGTTCTAATATCTATATCTTGTCTATTTTCTAAGCACACAAGGGCTTATTACGGGGGACACTGTATATATATTTTTATACCATATTCGACGTAATAAGCGCCCCGCTCTAATAAGCGCCCACGGCAATATTCGCTAATAAATTGGCCCATGAACAATCCCAATTAGCACCCCTTCCGATTGATCAAGGTAAACAAGACTTATATATTCGCTTAAAATACGCACTCATCTGTTATATGCACACTTAATTAGGGGCAATTAACTTCTGGAAAAATATATCTGTCGTACATAAACATTTCAGCCTGTCAGCATAAATCACGAAATTTACCTTTTAACTCTGTTTTTTCCCACTAAAATAATATTCTAATAAGAGCCTCCTATTTCTAATTTTGAGAGCATTACTCTTACAAATATGACATCTCAAAACTCAACACTGACTTTGGTTTACATATCCCAAAGATATAAGGCCACCCTCCCCCATTGGAGACAGGGGCCTTTTCTTGGGGGACAATCAGTTTGATGAGCTTACTCACGTTCTAGTAGATTAACATTTAGTCTATGAAATCTTATATTACACAATACCCTTCTGGACTCTAAAATTAAACAAATATTTTTCCTGATGCTGATTTCATGTGGAATAGAGCTAGTTAGAGCTGGCTAGACTTGCTTTTGTGTACATATCTAGAGTGTTTTTAAAAAAGAAAAAATTATATTCCACAGTCATGGTGCAGGACTCTAGCTGTGAAACTGTTTCTACTAGTACTACCTGCTATCCACCGATAGAAGATGTGTGATAGTTATTGAGAAGTACGTTGACCCATTGTAATCACAACGAATTTGTAGTTGTACAATTTTGCAGCTAACCCGTCTTCGTAAATACCATACTATAGCTCTACCTCAAAGTGCCAACAGATAGAATATATTACGTTATACAGTAAATGCTCTTAGTATTCATTGAAACTTAAATTTCATAATTCGATGTACTCGTAAAATCATTATTTCTATTCATTCTTATTTCGTATATTTTCCGGGAGCAATTTTCGTACAAGCCTCCCCTTTCCGAAACGAAACCACGGTCATTCTTTCCGAATTGGTCCCATTCGTAAAACGTATGCATTACCGCCACGAAATCTTTTGTCTCGATCTTGGACTAAAGCCCTTGCAGCACATCCTTACATCTTTCCAATCCCGTTCACGAATTGCCATGACAACACATAGCTTCAACAGTGGCATGCAATACTTACTGACAACAACGCGAATTTATGAGACATCTACACATAGCAACAAATAATTCCGGAAATGAGAGTTATCTCCCTTCGATCGAGAAACCCGCATTTATAAATAGCATTTCCACGACAAGGCACTGGTGATGCGGAGTGTTGACATCGAGACGCAAATAGCTCACAGTTTAATGAATAATTATAACATAAAATAATTCCGGAACACTGTTAAACCATGGAAACCGTCTCTTGAGTTTAGTTGACACTATATACTATTGTAGTAGGTTGATAACTAAGATATACCGTATTCGACGTAATAAGCGCCCTGCTCTAATAAGCGCCAACGGCGATATTTGCTAATATATTGGCTGGTGAACAATACCAATTAGCACCCCTTCCGATTGATCAACGTACACAACACTTATTTAGTCGCGTATAATACGTACTAGTGTGTTATATGCACCCTTAATTATGGGCATTTAAATTCTGGAAAGATGTATCTCTCGTATATAAACATTTCAGGCTGTCAGCATAAACCACGAAATTTATCTTTCAACTCTGTCTTTTTCACCAATATAATATTCTAATAAGAGCCCCTTATTTCTCATTTTGAGAGCGGCCTGGGCGCTTATAACGTCGAATACGGTAACCCTCATATAAAAGGCCGTCTAAATCGGTTGAAAATAGAGGTGAATTGAATTGGTAAGGCACATTACTAGTATAAGTAAGAGGCATGACAACTTTATACCTGTGAAAATCCTACTAAATCAATTCAACGCGTTTTGAGAGGTATAAACTACACACGTTATACTGAAGCCCAGTTCTTTCAATGTGAAGATATTCACAAATTGATCTGACATTTTTCAGAAAAAAACTGAAAAGTCATAAGTTTGGCACTGGACACAAACCCTACCCTCCATTGTAATTTTGTGTTTTTCACCACGGAAAACAACGTTTAAAATTCCTGAATAATAAAAGTTCCACAGTTGTCTGATGTATAGATAAGGGTGTATGAAACTACTGAACAGCTTAGAAATTATGTTTCTGAAACATTTCAGAATGTCAGGAATGGCAAGAAGCGCCAGTTCAGCACTTGTCTGATTTTTATACAACTGTTCATAAAATAATGAACAGCTCAGATAGCGTTTATTAGTTACAAAACCCCAGTTCAACCAGCGCAGGCATGAAACACCGAGGAAAGCCATTTGAAGCCCACCCAACCCCCCAATTGAAACAAGACAGCCCCTTGAATCAACCCCGTGTCACTGATCCCTTCAAAACAGATACCAGCATGACGCTTATTAGAGGAATTACGGACAACTTTGATGCAATGCATCAACATGACGTAAAATAAAACTTTGTCATTAGGACAGCAGGCCCACTATAAGAATAAAGAGAGTGAGTGAAAACAATATGAAAGTGTCGCACATCACATCATTTACTTCATAAGAAGCCGCGATTCCCTTGGGCACGCCAGAAACCTATGATTGTGGGCTCGAATCCCTGTTCGCCCCGGTTATGTTTCTAGGTTTGTCGGCACCATACCCGTGCTCGTGGGTTTCATCGAAGTGTTAAACGTCTGAGACCTGCATCACTTCGGGCTTGCCTCCTACATTAAGCTGACACGCCGCGAAATAACTGGATACTGTTAAATTGGCGTTAAACCCAACTCACACACTTACATACTCACATAATGATGTATAGAGAGAGAGAGAGAGAGAGAGAGAGAGAGAGAGAGAGAGAGAGAGAGAGAGAGAGAGAGAGAGAGAGAATTTCACCCGAGTGTCTTTTGATATCAAATATATCAACACGAGTTGATAAAAGTGGAAAAATTCCGAGGCTTGCCGAGGATTTTTGCCACTTTTATCAACGAGTGTTGCTTTATTTGATATCAAAAGACACGAGGGTGAGATATTATTTATCATCCAACATCATTCTTCCAGCTTTTTCAATTTGTAGACAGTAATTAGCAGTGTCTTCAGTCTAAAAAGTACTGCTAACAGCTTCAGTAGCAGAGCCATTAGTGATGTCATTTGATTGTGACATTGGTCTGCAAAGCATTGTGATGTAATTTCATTGCAGCGACATCTACAGTGTAGATATCGCTTGATCTAATCCAAGCGATATCTCCTGTGGGAGCCAGTTTTGGATGATATATATAATCTAAGTTCGGTTTATAAATTAAATGTGTGTGTTTCTGTCTGAGTGCGTGTGTTTCTGTTAGTGTATGTGTGTCTCCGTGCGTGTGTGCGTGTGTGCGTGTGTGCGTGTTGGCGAGTGAAATCAATTTAGTTACAGTTGATATTTATTTCACAACACATGTTGAAAGGACCCTTTACCAACGCTTACACATGTGCACAAATCTACTCGTCATATCATATTTACCCTATGTTATATGTAACATCATGCTCCACGTCATAAGTGACACCATTTAAGTATTTGTACGAGTGGTTCGGTTAAAACCCCAAGAAAACATGACTTTTAAAATATAAGTAATTATGATGAATACAGAAAAGACGAATGCTTATGTAATCCATTCTGCTACTATACGTTTTTGTTGGTAATTATGAAAAAGGATCTACCAGGTCGAATATCTGCTTTATTAAGTATGTGAGTTCGTGAGTATGGTTTTACGCCGATTTTAGCAATATTCAAGCAACATCACGACGGAGACACCAGAATGGGTTACATACACGTGGGAATCAAACCAGGACCTTCGGCGTGACGAGCGAACGCTTTAACCATTAGGCTACCCCAGCAATGTGACCCAAAGCATTTGGCAATGTGACTCACTGATGGTAGCAAAGTAACCCAAATCATTTGGCAATGTGACTCACTGATGTGGCAACGTGACCCAAAGTATTTGGCAGTGTGACTCATTGATGTGGCAACGTGACCCAAAGCATTTGGCAATGTGACTCACTGATGGTAGCAGTGTGACCCAAAGCATTTGGCAATGTGACCCACTGAAGGTAGCAATGTGACCCAAAGCATTTGGCAGTGTGACTCACTGATGGTAGCAATGTGACCCAAATCATTTGGCAATGTGACCCACTGAAGGTAGCAATGTGACCCAAATCATTTGGCAGTGTGACTCACTGATGGTAGCAATGTGACCCAAAGCATTTGGCAATGAGACCCACTGAAGGTAGCAATGTGACCCAAATCATTTGGCAGTGTGACTCACTGATGGTAGCAATGTGACCCAAATCATTTGGCAATGTGACTCACTGATGGTAGCAATGTGACCCAAAGCATTTGGCAGTGTGACTCACTGATGGTAGCAATGTGACCCAAATCATTTGGCAATGTGACTCACTGATGGTAGCAATGTGACCCAAATCATTTGGCAATGTGACTCACTGATGGTAGCAATGTGACCCAAAGCATTTGGCAATGTGACCCACTGAAGGTAGCAATGTGACCCAAATCATTTGGCAGTGTGACTCACTGATGGTAGCAATGTGACCCAAATCATTTGGCAATGTGACTCACTGATGGTAGCAATGTGAACCAAATCATTTGGCAGTGTGACTCACTGATGGTAGCAGTGTGACCCAAATCATTTGGCAATGTGACTCCCTGATGGTAGCAATGTGACCCAAATCATTTGGCAATGTGACTCACTGATGGTAGCAATGTGAACCAAAATCATTTGGCAATGGGACTCACTGATGGTAGCAATGTGACCCAAATCATTTGGCAATGTGACTCACTGATGGTAGCAATGTGACCCAAATCATTTGGCAATGTGACTCACTGATGGTAGCAATGTGAACCAAATCATTTGGCAATGTGACTCCCTGATGGTAGCACTGTGGCCCAAATCATTTGGCAATGTGACTCACTGATGGTAGCAATGTGACCCAAATCATTTGGCAATGTGACTCACTGATGGTAGCACTGTGACCCAAATCATTTGGCAATGTGACTCACTGATGGTAGCAATGTGACCCAAATCATTTGGCAATGTGACTCCCTGATGGTAGCAATGTGACCCAAATCATTTGGCAATGTGACTCCCTGATGGTAGCAATGTGACCCAAATCATTTGGCAATGTGACTCACTGATGGTAGCAATATGAACCAAATCATTTGGCAATGTGACCCATTGATGGTAGCAATATGAACCAAATCATTTGGCAATGTGACCCATTGATGGTAGCATTGTGATTCGTGATGGCAGCAATGTGATTCGTGATGTGAACCAAATCATTTGGCAATGTGACTCACTGATGTCGCAACGTGACCCAAATCATTTGGCAATGTGACTCTCTAATGGTAGCAATGTGACCCAAATCATTTGGCAATGTGACTCAATGATGTGGCAATGTGACCCAAATCATTTGGCAATGTGACTCACTGATGGTAGCAATGTGACCCAAATCATTTGGCAATTTGACTCCCTGATGGTAGCAATGTGACCCAAATCATTTGGCAATGTGACTCCCTGATGGTAGCAATGTGACCCAAATCATTTGGCAATGTGACTCCCTGATGGCAGCAATGTGACCCAAATCATTTGGCAATGTGACTCACTGATGGTAGCAATATGAACCAAATCATTTGGCAATGTGACCCATTGATGGTAGCAATATGAACCAAATCATTTGGCAATGTGACCCATTGATGGTAGCATTGTGATTCGTGATGGCAGCAATGTGATTCGTGATGTGAACCAAATTATTTGGCAATGTGACTCACTGATGTCGCAACGTGACCCAAATCATTTGGCAATGTGACTCTCTAATGGTAGCAATGTGACCCAAATCATTTGGCAATGGGACTCAATGATGTGGCAATGTGACCCAAATCATTTGGCAATGTGACTCACTGATGGTAGCAATGTGAACCAAATCATTTGGCAATGTGACTCTCTAATGGTAGCAATGTGACCCAAATCATTTGGCAATGTGACTCACTGATGGTAGCAATGTGACCCAAATCATTTGGCAATGTGACTCCCTGATGGTAGCAATGTGACCCAAATCATTTGGCAATGTGACTCCCTGATGGTAGCAATGTGACCCAAATCATTTGGCAATGTGACTCACTGATGGTAGCAATGT